TTATAACTACTTGTACTTTCTTGATTGTGGTTGTTGTAATTCTCCATGTTTCAGCTCCATACAGCAGAACTGCCTTGACGTTCGTATTGAAGATTCTCACTTTGATATTGGTTGAAAGTTGTTTTGAGTTCCATATGTTCTTCAGTTGTAGGAATGCGACCCTTGCTTTGCCAATCCTCGCCTTTACGTCTGCATCTGATCCTCCTTGTTCATCGATGATGCTTCTCAGGTATGTGAAGGATTCTACATCTTAAAGAGTTTCGCCATCAAGAGTGATTGGATTGCTATTCTCCGCTTTGAATTTGAGGACCTTGGTTTTCCCGTTGTGTATGCTGAGGCCTACTGATGCAGAGACTGCTGCTACACTGACTGTCTTTATCTGTATTTGTTCATGTGTATGCGATAGTAGATGAGTGAATTTCACGCACAAAATCTGAAACCTGTTATCTTATATCTGATTGATTCGTCTGGCCGAATTCGGTTCATCAAATGAATAATCAACAATTTCAATAGGAATCACTACTAGTTTCCCAATTGTTACACTATATATATATATATCTGACTTATGGATTATCGTAAACATACAACCGTAATCTTTCAAATACAATAAGAGTGTAAAATGTAATTACTGTTATTTATCATTGTAATTACAGGTCAATAACTAAAAATAGCATAGAACATACCATGTCCATAATGTACACATACATTTGGATTGTGATCACTTTTTCTTGTTCTTTTATTTAACAAATAAACTTAGTTAATAAATATGTTACACATTATTTTCAAATGTTTTAAGGTTATAAAACTGTCAGAAATTAACATTACTGATAGAGTGATTGATTACTACGTATAGATAGATAGGAATTACAATGATAGTAATAACTATTCCATTAAATCGATATGTTCCCTTGTTATCTTTCATAGATAATACTTTTAATTATGGCTTGAATACTTGTTCATTGATATGACAACAAGTGATTAGATTGATCTTAGGGAATAAGTGAATAACAAACAAAACTTCGAAACAGCAGTTGTCTCAATAGTTGAACTCATGAGTCAATTGAAGCTAGACCACCATGGAAAACCTAGAAGTACTGGACGGCCGTTTCGTCCAATGGTAGGACTCTGCAGCAGTGTGCATCCACGATCCCGCCTCTCAGGACTCGAACCCAGGTCTCGCGTGCGAGACCAGTATGTTCTGGGTTCGAATATTTTTAAAATGAGATCATTTGCTGTATAATGATGGGATATCATAGTTCATTGCATATGAAAAGAAGTTAATTAGCTATAGTAGCATGATAACTTAAATGATCCAACTGTATTTCATTAATTTGATTTATCTTAAAACTGTCATACAAATATATGATAAAAACGTGCGAGGATAAAGGTCATGGGTTTGAGACCCACATGCGGATCCATAGACGTGCACACCAAGACGAAACAACTGTTCCACTTGACTGGTCGCAATCACTATTTGTCCCAATATATAAGAAAGGTTCAAAATCATCCTGTGATAAAAATAGAGGGATTGGTTAAACTAATATAGCATCTAAAATACTGACATCAATAATTATCGCACGCCTAGAAAACGCTCGTAAATGCAAACACGAGAAAATCAGACTGGTTTCAGAGTTGGTCGTAACTCTATCGACCACATATTCACCAATCGTCGGGTTCTCGAACACAAGCATACTTATCGGCGTCCGATGATCGTGGTCTTTCTCGACTTAAAAGCAGCATTTCACTCTGTAGATCGAGAGATTCTCTTGCAGTGTCTGTCATTGGGAGGCGTACCACAGAACTACATAAAGCTTGTGAAAACTCCTTACTCGAACACTACTAGTCGAGTCCGAGCATATGGCATCTAACTGCGCAACCCCAAGTGGTATCCCACAAGGCTGACCACTGTCTCCATGTCTGTTCAACTTCATCATAGACACACTGACGGAAATAACGGTCTCGTCGACTGAATTTTCGGGCATTGAGCTACTACCAGGAGACCCACTTATCGACTTAGAATACGTAGGTGACAGCCCTGTTTAGTGATGACGTCGCAACAATGCCAGGATTTTTGGGATGCGTTTCTCCCGAAATAAATGCAAACTGGTGCTTCAGGACTGGCCTGAGTCAACACCTGAACTAAGGATAGGGAGTGAAGTAATCGAATGCGTCGACAACCTCACTTATCTTGGAAGTCTGTTCAGCCCCAATGGGTTGTCTGACGAAATCACAGAACGGATTCAAAAAGTTCGTTTGGATTTTGCCAGTTCACGTCACCTATGGCGAAGCAAGATATCTGCCTATCAAATAAGGGACGTGTATACTGCGCGAAGTTCGTTCTGTTTAACTTTATGGTTGCGGAATGTGGCCATTAAAAGTAGATATCCGTAAGCCATGTTGGTAGATGCAGACTATTTGGTTGGGGTTCACGCAACTATCGTAACCAATGGTTGGAGACTCTGGGTGACATGGCTCAGAATCGACCATAATGGAGTGGGAGTTTACACTCTGAATTTCCTAAACTGTTAGACTAAAATTGCTTTATATCTTTCTTTCTACTACCTAATTCTTTCTTCCTGTAGTATGTGCTTATATGCAATCTTTCTTTTATATATTACTACCATTGAAGTGTCTACATCTATGTATTCGGCGTTCATCTTGTTGTGTTAATGAAGTGTGGCAACTTGGACTGATGCACATATGTGCCTGATTCTACGTTGCAGCTCACCATTGCTTTCACTTTTTCAATGGTGGGTTCATGATTTCAATGAAATGATATACACTTCTAGGTTTTCTTAGTCATTCAATCAAGATCTTAATTCTTGTTTGCATTTCTTGTAAAACCAGAATGGTCGGCAGTTAACCGTTAGTTGATTAGGCTACATAAAATAGGATTGATTAGCTGAACAATGTATGTACATTTAGCAATAGATCGAATCGCTCGACATCAATATGAATATGTATGCTACTAAGGGACACGGGTCCGAATCTCAAGTGAAATACTAGTCATTTCATGATTAGAGATTTACTGCAAATAGATACATTTTTTCACAACTTCATGTTGAGCCACTCGGTGAAGTATATCCACCTATCCTATAAGGAGAATCTATTTTTCAAGAAGTAGATTCAGATAAGTTATTTTTCTATTGGCGTCATCTCAAGGTATAACAGTAGGGTTGGAAGTTGACTATGCATCTACTCAAGGCAACGTAATGAGTTTATTATTTACTGGCAAATAATTCATTTCATATAATAAAGCAATCAACCAGCAAAATCTGAATAAAATGTTGTCACTTTCGTGAATATAACAAAACAAGTGTCTTCAAATTAAATGAGAATCCCCGAGATTGTTATTTGTTGAATAGCTAAAAAAAACATCGTGGTGATTACTGACAATTTTCAGTCAATCAAACAGCTTTATGATAGACGATTAATACTTGATTTCGAATACCCAATCTCCTTTTGTACATACATACATTTACACTATATCTTTTCAAATAGTATTTCAAAGGTTTACTATTCTTCATGGCTACTGTATTATTTTGATTTCTTTTTTCTGATTTCAATCTTGTAGTGCTGATCAAATATGGAAACTTAGATGAACGCATATCTACACCAAAACTATACTCATGTGTTTATAGTTAATCAATGAAGGAAAAAGTAAAAGAATGTTCATGGAAACATAAGAGTAAAATAATTTAAGGATTGACAGTAAATACAACAGATTGCAGTATTTAGTTATATGCTTTATAAGCATCTAAAACAATAGAATAGCATATGGGATGGCAGACATCAAATTTAATCATAGTGATAGAGAAGAAGAATGTAAACAAAAGTGCATGAAATATATACTCTATTCATGATAATGGAAAAACAAAACACAAACAAAATGAACACACACTATCAAATTGTGACATAGAGTATATCAAATCAAATTGACTTTAATAATAGAAAGTCATGTGAAAGAAGTATTATTCGGTTATGTTTAAGAGAAGCTAAATAAAAAGGGTAAAGAAACAGTATCTTCCAACAACAACAACAACAGCAGCAACAAAAAAGGAACACCATGATTCAAACAGACTGTAAACAATCCACCATCTAAATAACCAATACTATGAACAATGAATTGTTCATAAGTTGTCAAATCAAAAGTATCATCATATTGATAAGATGAAAATTAATTCAACAAAACAATAGACAAAGAAAAAGACTATAAATCCAAGCCCATATTTATATGTATATTCATAAAACTAAATTAGTAGCAAACTAAAAAAAATGGGGGGGGGTTGGAGGTTGGGGAAATAGATTAAACAGAATGTAAGAAGAGACAGATAACGACTAGTTTATAGTTAATTAAAGAATAAAATGAAAAACAAATTAGACTGGGTAGTTAGTTAACTAGTTAGTTTAGTGTATAGACTCTACCTCCTCATCCTTCGCCTCCTTCTTCTACTTCTTCTTTATTATCCTCAAAATCATTTAAGTATTTATAGATCAATTTAACATTGAATTAAAGAAGTTACAAATTGTCAACGATAATTCAATAATCCATTAAAAAATTTACCCGAAGTGAAGAAGAAAAAGAACGTCCCTTTTTTTCTTTAGCGAATAATAATGTGAAGAATAAGAATTATTTATGTTAATTATATACAAAACAACAATAATAATAGTCTAGTAGTAGGAGTAGTAGGAGTAATACTAATCATGATAAATAGTCAATGATAATGGTGACCATAATAATAATAATAATAATTTTATTAAAATAAATGATAACACCGGAGTGACAGATATGACTTTTTGAATGTTTCTTCTATTCAATTTTCTATGAACAATGAATGTTAGAAAACCAATGGATGAATTGAAAGCAAACAGAATAGATTGTCTTTTGTTGTTGTTGTTGGAGAACAAATAGTTTTCTGATGGAATTTAGAAAACTAATATATATAGAGAGAGGGGGGGTATTATATATATATATATATTTTCTTCTCTTCTATGAAGTATCAAGATATTCTACTTGAATGGAATTCGACAGGAGGTGTTCTACTACCTAATATCGGTTTAGTTTGACATGTTGATATTGACTCTGATTTGGTTCGACGACGTGATTTGTTTATAAAAAAGCCAGTAGGTGGTTCAAACTGTAATAAAATTAAATAATAAAATTTAGTGACTAAATTAATTTATTATGATATAACAATCTAATTAGTGATTTATTCTTCACTTACATTCACTCTGAAATCTCCTAAAGTACGATATTTTGAATCCAACAAGCTCTGTAAACGTGTATCCAATTTTACTTTGCGTTGACTATAATGTAGAAAAGCCCAAAATTTTTCTAATCCATATAAATGACCATTATCATAGTCTTTTAGAGTTTCCTCCTTTTATTAAGATTAGATGAAGAAAATAGAAACTACAAGTTAGCTACATTTCAGAATAAAAACTATAATTTATGTTTAAGGTGTATGAATAAAGAACACGACTGATCAAGAGAAAGAAAAAAAATTGGACACTTTGTAGGCTACAATGAGTAAAAGTGTCCTGTTCTCATGAACAAAGTCTACAAAATTCATAAAATAATTATTGGGATATAAGTTTGATGCTTTTAAACTACTGGGTATCATATTATGCACATTAAGCAAAACTTGTGAAAGACGAAATTGTAATCTGCAGATTGGTTTTCATTTAAGTCGTACATGTGGTGATTAAATTTTCACTCTTCGCCAAACATCGACAAATTTTTAAACAGGGTAACAAATTCTGTATTACTTGATATCCGGGGCAAACTACGAATCTGTTGGGAGAGTCTCAACATACTCCTTGTCTAAGTCTCTAGAGGCTCAGAAAAGTCAGTAAACATTTTATCTACTCAGCGTTGGATAGAGGCTTCGCAGAAACATCTACAAAATGGGGAAACGTGTTACGGCTTCTATTAGATACTTTATAATTAGTATGGTTCCGGAAATATTTAAAAGCGCAAGGTGATGTATAATTCCATAAATACCCTTGTTTTTTGGCATATAAACTAACTGCCATTTCGTGCCTTTTCTCTGTTATTTCAGCTGACATGTAAAAGTTGTTGAGGTTATATAAACTAGCTAGGAAGAGAGTTTAGGCTTATCAGTAGCAAGGTTTATCAGATTCATTGGTCATGATTATGATTAGACATTCTCTGTAGTGTATAAATGACGTCAATAAATAATAACGGGATGGTATGACCTATATAGGATGTAATACACAGTGGAGCCATCTATATCGATACTGTTTTCGAACATATAAATTTCGGAATCTGGACAAAGTAATATACAGAATACTTTAACTTTGGTCTCACAGTCAGTCAGTAACAACGTAGAACTTCGTACGTACGTACATCAGTTCGAGTTGCCATACCACATTAGCACAGAAATGCAGTCGTCGATTCAAGTCCCGTAGTGGTAGAGGTAATAAGAGTATAAGCAGTAATCGGGAGAATTAGTGTTTGGAGATGTTATTCAAAGAGTATAATACAGTGAAATTTGGGAAGAGAAAAAAAGAGACAAGGAGGAATAAGGAGATCAAATCTTAGGAGAACACAAAGAGTGCATGCACCTGCGCCATTGCAAACGATTTTGAGCCATGTCATTCAGGGTCTCTAACCATCGGACTTGTGCCATGTTCTCACAAGAACTAACGGCACTTTACGAAAGTTAGACGGGACAAATAATCTAGATTGTTTTATTATACTGAAACAAGAGGTTTCAACGTTGGACATGAGACAGAATGGAAGGATAGTTTGTTGCGATGACTGTGACCAGACACATCCTTTGAAACTATGCCAGTACTATTTAATAAAATTCAGGGATACAGTGAAATGTGTGGTAAGTACTAACAGATAGATTTCTCAAATACCTAGGAGAAAAAAATTGGGCTAATTCAGCAACACAGATACTAACTTTCTGTCATAACTGTAAAAGTAGGTACTTAAAGCTAAAATAGATCAACTTGAAAACAAACAGTACTTTTTCTAAAATTATACGTTACTTATTATGAGAAGGATTAGCGATTACAGTTTCTCAATTAAGTGTTTGAATTAATGAAAACTTACTACTATGTTCATCACACGCGAGTATTATCACTCGCTTTTAGACAGTGATCGATAGACGAATACATGAAACACAAACTTAACACATTACATTCATTCGATTAAAAAGTTCTATATATCACTATTTAGACAGAATACATAACTAAAGAAAGAATTATTCTAACAAGAAAATAGGTAACATAGAGTAATTCGAAAGCACTCACTTGAAAATCCTTGAAAATAGCTTTACGAAAATGACGTTCTAATCCATAACTGTAAAATCGAAACAAACACTCCAGTCCATATCTCGCATTCTCTTTGGCATCGTCTAATGCATGTTTACGAAAGTCTTTATACATAGTTCGATTGAAGTGTTCACGTAGAAAAAATGACCAAAAGCTATAAAGAGTATTCATTTCCTAAATAAACCCATACAAATTATAATGTTTATTATTCAGCAACTATAGACCTCAAGAAACAAAGTGATTATATATAAGATAGACAACAATTAAGTCGGAAAGTCAGGTTTCAGTTTTATTCATATGTTAATTACGACGACTGAATCCTTCAAATGTGTTTGAAAATTGTAATTACATTACTTTTAACTTTAATATTTCGCATAAAATTATGTCATTGTAATACAATAAAAACATTGACAATAGTCTATTGTGAATTTACGTCAATAATAACAGCTACATTGTAGCTGTGAGAAATTTATCGGATAAATTAAGAAAGCATAATGTGCAATAGACTGTTTTGTAATTATGCATAATGGAGAAGCATGGTCCATTGAAGCAGAAGACAACTGAAGACTAAAATTCTTGATCACAAGTGTCTTCAAAGCATTGACCGCGTATCGTCTAACGACCGAACGGGGTCTGACGTAGAATATGATGTAAATGTAGCAAGTCGGTTGATTAAATTGTGAATATTTCAAAACTCAAGTGATTGAGATGTGTTATGTATGTTTAAACAATACCTACCTCAACGGGTAGTATTATGTGGTTTGAGAGCAGGTTGAAACGAAAATAGTTGTAGCCAAACCAAGAAATGATATTATTGGGTTAGGTTAATGCAGCCAACTTGGTCAACGTACATATGATAACCCCGATGAGCTAGTCAGTCAGTAACAACGTAGAACTTCGTACGTACGAACATCAGTTCGAGTTGCCATACCACATTAGCACAGAAATGCAGTCGTCGATTCAAAACCCGTAGTGGTACAGGTAGTAAAAGTATAAGCAGTAATCATAAACATTAGGGCTTGAAGATGTTATTCAAGGAGTATAATACAGCGAAATAAATTTGGAAAGAGACAAGGAGTATTCAGGAAATTAGGATTTGGGAGTACACAAAGAGTGTATGCACCTGCACCATTACAAACGATTTTGAGCCACGTCACTCAGGGTCTCTAACCATCGGTTGCTATCACCTCGCAGATCCCAACCAGGTAGGCTACACCTACGAACATGGGTCAGTCTACTTGTCAGTGACTTCATGGACTTGTGCCATGTTTTGGTCTGGCCGCCCCTAGCTTTCTTCCAATCTACTCCTATACAACAAAACATCGCACATCGAGGCAGTCGGTGGTTGGGCATATGTAACACATGTCCCTGCCATCTTAACTGATGAAGTTTCACTACGTCATCAATCGACTTGTCATCCTTACTTAACACGCGTTTCCCAACAACTGAGTTACTTACTCGATGATCCCAGGATAAACGACCAATGTTTCGAAGACACCTGTGACCAAATACTAGTAACCACCTACGAATATCATCTACTCTTACCGACCATGTTTCATTGCCATAAAGTAGGAGGAACGAACTGCCGAGCAGTCAACCCGTCCTTTGGTTGGTAGACGGATAATTTCGCCTACGCCATAAATGACGCAAGTTGGCAAAAGCTAGTCGAGCATTCTGTATGCGTGCTGAGATTTCGTCACACACCAGACCACAAGGGCTGATGAGACTTCCAGGATAAGTGAAGCGGTCGACACGCTCATCAACTTCACTCCCTATCATCAGTTCAGGTGTCGGTTCAACCCAATCCTGAAACAACATTTTGCATTGCGAGGGGGAGAATCGCATGCCGAACGTGCTTGCATTGTTGCTAGTGGTCAGAAGACCGATAAGTGGTTGGTGATGTTGGAAGACACGAATCAGAAGTATTTCAGTCAGTCAGTCAGTAACAACGTAGAACTTCGTACGTACGTACATCAGTTCGAGTGCCACACCACATTAGCACAGAGAGCAGTGGTCGATTCAAATCCCGTAGTGGTAGAGGTAATAAGAGTATAAGCAGTAATCGGAAGATTAGGGTTTGGAGATGTTATTTAAAGAGTATAATACAGTGAAATAAATTTGGAAAGAGGAAAAAAGGGACATGAAGAATTCAGAAGATTAGAATTTGGGAGAACACAGAGAGTGGATGCACCTGCGCCATTGCAACGATTTTGAGCCATGTCATTCAGGGTCTCCAACCATCGGTTGCTATCATCTCGCGGTCCCCAACCAGGTAGTCTACACCTACCAACATGACTCAGTTCACTTGTCAGTGACTTCATGGATTTGTGCCATGTTTTGGTTTGGCCGCCCCTAGCTTTCTTCCAACCTACTCCTATACCACTGAACATCGCACGTCGAGGCAGAAGTATTTACAGAGATAGATTAACGCTTTATCTGCTACTTGATCTTGAGTACTCTTCAAAACATATCTTTGCTTTCCATTTCGTAGAATCCTATTTTTTAATGTTTAATCGTACTCACTTGTATTGCTAATTCACAATTGTTTCGACTCCTTTGATATGCATCTTGTTAATTTTACCTCGTTGTGCTGGTTTGATATGGAAGAGTTAACACATGTTTGTGTCAGGCTTAATGTTATGAATGACTGACATCTTATGATTGCATGTGATTAGAGTACTTGTCTTATCATCTTAACTTCAGACTCATACAACACGAACACGGATAACCTCCATGAAATATACAAATAAAAATCAGCCACACGAGTAATTGATAAAAACAATAACATGCTAATAACAAATTTACCTGTGATCGACCTTTCCCTTTAGCTTCTCGGTCTTTCAGACATTTGGAACGAAACTGATTGTAGGCATGAAATGTGAAACCCCTTTGCTGAGATGATGTGGATGATGAGCAACTGGGAATCCTCCACTTTAAGGAAATCAAGTAAAATATGAGGAAAGAAAGTCAATAACTGAAAATCGAGGAATAGTAAGTTTAGAAAGATTTACGAAGTTACAGCAACACCATGGAGCAGTGGCTCAATGGGGTTGGAAAATTTGGGTAATGTTAGGTTCTAGATATGATTCTATAAATATTTACTGTGGCGCGGGCAGTTTGATAGTGTTATTAACCTGTATGTGATCTGTGAGTTACTGCTTCTAAAGGAATTACCGTTTCATTTTCCAAAAAAAGGACAATCCTGATACATGCAACTATATTTGAATTGGTCTACAATAATGATAATTTAATTGTAAATATTTATGAGTCTTTAGTCATTCCGTAGTTCAATTTTCAAGATGTCAAGGTGCACTATATTTCATGTCACTTTTATAAACAATCAAAAATTCTAATGGGAGAAAAACAAATGGTAACTTTACATACATTGAAAAGTTTTTATGACAAAAGAGTAAATCATGATTTTACCTCAAGGAGACATCTAAATGGGTACGAGCAGCAGAAACCGGGCGAAAAAGAAACCAACATGTTTCTTCTTGTTGGATGATAAGTTTTCTGTTTCCGCGGTCGGAGGATTGTCGGGTTGCTAAAATTATATCCAATGAAAATAACACAATGATGCAGTAGCAAACCGTTAAACTCAAAAACTTCAATCAATAAAACAACAGGAAGTGATGATTCATTTTAGGTTAGAAGCATGGTAATTTGAAAAGTTTTACAAATAGTAAACATGATGTTAAATAAAAACTTACTGTATAATCGGTTGACTCATTTGCTTTTAAGTCATAGTCACTGGAAACGGGGAAAAATCCAACAGAACGACCTTTAAGGTCGTATTTTATGTCAGGAAATGATAGATAACTTTGATCATAATTTAGGAAAGACGGTAATGGTTGACATATAGGAATTTGAGGAAATAGATTGTCTACTGGAGAAACCAAAGGCAAAGCGCTAATTTGAGGAATGTAATACATTGGAGTTGAGGGTACTAAAAACGGATTTCGACTAAGAGTCGGCAATATAAGTCCAGTCTGTGGGTGCAAAGCGGTAGCTGTCGGTATTACAGTATACGTAACCGGACCAGGAATTGAGGGATGCACGTATGACAAACAGGATTCTATAGTGAATTCATAGAACAGATAGAAAAAAATACTGCTTTTATGAATCATTAAATTCTATGAAACCAAAAACATGATGCTTTAAAATGCGTCTACAAATACACAAGGGAATAGATTGTACGAAAATTTAAGACGGCTATACAACTCATTAAATTGGATGAGCAGCGACAACAGATTCTGATGCAACTTTTGGGAACTGAAAATAAACACTGATTCTCTGCACTACTAAACATTCATCATCTTGTAGCCATATGAATAGAAACCATATGAAGACATAGGATGTCTGCCCTAAAATGATGTTTGATCTCTGTAAAAACTGTACTCCACAAACACAGAACGTTAAATGTTAAAGTAAATAATTACTGAATATAAATGAAATGAAGAGACAAACCGATTTCGAAGTTGAATATTGTGGTATAACATTGAATTACCTGAATAAAGTGGATTTGATGATACTGGGACGCAGGAGTGCGCCGAAACTTCAGAGACAGGTACATCAAGCTGTACAAGAGGACTGTTACAACAGATAGTTGTGGTTGTAGTATAGGAAGTGGATGAAGTAGAAAATATTTCTGTACACGTGGAAGCCTTTTCTTTGATAACGTTGGCTAGATTGGATTCCTATTTGATTGGAAAAGAAGGTTATCAACTTGTTATTAATGAACATTATGCAAGAGTAAAAATACTAGTTAATGGTCAGGATTATGAAAGAATGGAAAATACATTATAGACGAATGATAACATAAGTACTAAAATTAATTTATTATCCCAAGGGGAAAAATTAGCGACAAAATTTAACATACTGTGAAATTCGATTCAGTATGGACATTGGATTCTTCAATAGCTTTGCAAAGGTCATCAATAGTAGTTTCAACAGATTCGTCGGTAGAACTATGGAACGCAAAACAGATAAACAAAAGTTTCAGACTTAAACACAAGGTGTCAGTTTACAATATAATCAATAAGTTTATTTCGATAGATTAACGCTACCTGTCAAGATGTTATTTGAACTACGAGGAAGACTTGTATATGTATCTGCAAGAGCAACTTAATGGTTGAAGCATTCTTAGAGTTTAAATCCTTATTACACAATGTGTGGCTAGTGGCTAAGTATCTAAGCATTTAGGTGATAGTTCATTTGAACGCTTTCCACAATAAAAAAACCTAATAATTTTCTGAAAAAATAGCTTCGATGAGGTAAATAAGATGTGTGTAATTGGGATCGTAATCACTGTCGGCGAAGATCACGACTATTCATGATGGAATCATTTCCCAAGTAATATGAACAGACTTATTAACAGTAATGAGTATAGGAAATACTAGACAAGAGAAAACACATTTAGAAAATCAAGTAAGGGGAAAACATATATACCTGTTGGTAACGGAAGGAAATTTCGAAGGTTTAGAACTTTCATTCCTTGAATCATCATCCAAGTTACTGCAACTAGATGGTAAAGGATCATGAGATGTGTTTGGAGCAATCACCAATAAACAAGAAAGCATAGAATCGTCCAAATCATCTTCCGAGTTAGTGGATGATGTTCTTGTTCGGCACTAAAAAACCCAAGTAAAAGTTTCAATTAGTTAGGAATAATTAGGTTATGCATATAAATGACTGTGATGTTTCACTCGGTGAGTGCTGGACATGAATTCGGAAATCTTGTTTGACTTTCCTCGCTTGTAGGTTAAGGAACCTGTCCTTCTCCCAACCGAAATGAGAATATACGGCACAAGTCTGTTTTAATTTAGTCAATGGTAAGTCAGTCAGCTACAACGTAGGACCAGGTACATATATACATCGGTCCAAGTTGGCGCACCTCATTAGCACAATAAGATGAACACTAATTTCATAGAAGTAGACACTTCAATGATAGTAATGAATAAAAGAAAGATCGAATATAAGGATATAGTAAAGGAAGAAAGAATTAGTTCGTAGAAATTACTCAATGGTGGTGAAACACAGCCTATAAAAGTAGAAGACAAGAAAAGGCAGTTTCTCTTGCAGCGCCTCTCGAAACTTTGCTTCTATATCGCGATGTAACGACCGACTGAGCAATGTTGTGGATAGGAGTAAGATACTAAGGAGGAATAATAAATCAGCTGACGAATTTGTGCATTTTCATCAGCTGAGATGGGTGTATTATGTATGCTCAACCTCTCCCTACCTCTACTTGAGGTCCTGGTTTAAGAGGGATTTGGGAGCGAAATGAGGACGACAGAGCCGAAACGTGGCATTAGTCGACCAAATTACTGACTGTTTGGGTGAATCGTGTTGAAAAATAAAAGCTATCTAGTTAGGGCTGTGAAACGTACCCTTTGAAAACCAGAGGCTATTCGCAGGTTATCAATAAATGATCACAGATACCTTTGAAACATTGGTTGTGCATGTTTGGACTATCAAATAGGAAACACCAAAGTTAGACAGGGTACTAAGTAAAGTTGTGAATCTTTAATAAATGAGGTGATTTAGATGTGCTATTTGTCTAACCAACGCTTACCTCGACGATGTCAAGTTGGCGTAGGCGTATGTTAGAAGCCGGAGGCGGACAAGCCAAAAGGTGGCATCAATCCATGGAGTTTCTGACCACTGAACTGAACCGCGTAGGAGGGTAGAGATGTCTAGTTGAGGTCCGTGAGACTATAATAACTAATGATGGGTGACACTTGAATGATATATATCAAAGTCTAATGGAATTCGTCATTTGATGTACAAGTGATGACAAATTTTTATCAGTGTAAACCAAAAAACTGCTATTACCCAGATTCTGTTCAGATTTGTAGTTGTAATTGTCTGTATAACTGTACACATCGGAAGCATAATAGGTGGGAGAATTTATTACTATCATGTTACTCGAACAAGACTATGAACAGTCCTACATTACTGGTGGACAAGCTTATATCAAATTACTTTACGTCAGAATGAAGATCATACGACGAGCAGTCGGTTAGCAAATGACCAGAACAAATATCTTTAAGGATGGAATTGCGTTGAATAGGAATAAAATAATATGTACTCTAATCTCATTGTTTATAAATACACTATTTTTTTAAACACGGAATGCAATAACAAGTATGCACTATCTTTATTGAAATTCATAATATTTAAGACAAAGTAAATTTGTTTAAATGCAGCTTTGATCGATGACAGTAAGAAATGATTTAGAACTTATGGGATATTCTGTGATCTATGGGGACCAACTATTATAAATGAAGAATACAAGGCGTGAATTAAACGTCATGGTAACGGTTTAAAATTTTCAAAGATGATTTAAATATTTTGATGATTTTGTTTAAAGATTCGAGAAATGTAGCATGTTCAAACAACTGTATTAACTTAGTTACTTGAAATTGTTGACAGAAAAAAAGCGTTTGACTGATGAGTGTTTCCTGTAATTAGTTGATTACTTTGATAGAGCTATCACTAATTGGAAAATATGAATTTGTGAGAACAACGATTATCACATATCCGATGCTGAAATGTTTCCAAACCATTAAATTTGAATTTGGTTTGGACACCTATACTTCACAGTTAGTTAGGAAGACATAATTCAGAAATACAATGAATACTTACACGCACTAATAAAATGAGTGTGATTAAGAATTAAGTTTCTGTCAAGAAACTGAAATACTGGTATAATACAATAGACAAAAGGTAGAGTGAAACTTCAAAGATGTTTAAGATATGAAATAATTCTACATAACTGATATTTTGGTTTGAAACTTACATGATAAATAGAAGAGTACTTATCACATTCGGAAAAACTTGATCGGGTGCGTTTCGATGCCGAAGAATGCGGCGGTAGATTACTGTAGACAGAACGCAATTCATTTGAAAAGGAAAAGTTCAAATCTTCTTGTGTTGATGTGATGGGGGTAGCACCTGACTTTGTTACAAGTTCGAGGGATGATTCTATGCATAGAATTTAAACAAATAGCACATACTCAATGAGTGTTACAGGTGAGTTGGCAAGATCACAAAAATCTTGTCTGGCTGAATATTGATTATTTTTATAGAAAGAATGGTTGTACACGAGTAATACTATTGATTTTATCACCATTAGAACTTAATTCTACGCAAGTTTATCTTGTTGGAATTTGGTGAAACATAACTATTTTGAAATCTGAATGGAATGCTGGAGGTCTTTATTAGGAAAATGACTTGACATCAGGCATACAGTTGTTAAAATGAATAAATTATGTGAAGTCATACTGCCTCAGTTTCCTCATACTTAATGAATATTATTCAAATTGTTTATTTCACTAGCTAACTAAGCAGAGGAAAATGTTTAGAAGCTCACTGTAGAACCATGCAAATATCATTATGGTCGGAATAACTTGAGAAACAGTACAACTTGCCCGAATACAAATGGTTTAGTATTCAGTTCTTGATCAGGGTCTTAGGTTTGTAGCCCGCTGTACCTGCTTTGGCTTGGGAAGCCAGGTATGTAAACATGTACTCGATGAGAGTCACATTATACTCTTTCGTAACTATTTGGAATGAAATCGGACAGACCAAATTTGCAAACAAAGACGGAAAATCAGCCAGATGATGCTCATCTGGACGACAAACTTTTTTAGATGAAAACGAACTACCGATAAATAGGAAACACACTGACATTGATGGATATGCCATGTCATACTAAACATAGGATGTTGAATAAAGCTATTAATATTATATCAAGAATCGAAAGAATTACATCCCTTTTCGTGTATATGGCATACTAAGGTATTTTCAGCCGCTATGAAAACTTACATCTGAATTAGCACATAATGGAAGCAAAGCTTTTTACGCTAAGAATTTCTAACGAAAATCCAGTGTCTGAATGTCCAACTTTTAAGAAGAAAATGAATTTCTTTCGAAGTGAATGTTTATGTCTTGTTTTTACTTTAAAACTAATGATAAACTATCGCTTATTGAAGTGGTTTGTAAAAGAGAGGGGAATGACTAGGTTTATTCTAAACACCAGAACAGATAATCATTAATATACAGCCTGGAATAGATGTGCTAAACCACATTAGCAAGACGAGACAATATTAACAAAAGGCCGAAATAATACAGTAGCAGCGACAAAATGAAAGAATAAAACTTGGGGATATGACCTAATAAGACAATGGAAAGGTATACATGAACAGATGCTTGTTGCACAGCCTACACGCACATTGACTGGCAAATACTTCTTGACTAAAAAAACACAGGTTATCAAAGGCTAACTGAGTTTTCGAATTCGTGTAGAGATTCTGTCAGACATTAACCTATCCGGGTGATGAGACTTCTAAGTGACGTGGTCAGCGCAGTCATAGGCTGTGGTTCGACCAAATGTTTGAGTACAAGACCTTCGCAAGGTTTACACATTTAGATATCTTTTTCAATTAAAAACATTTTACAGAACTTATCGGTCAACAGAATCAAAGTATGCTTAAATCTTAAGAAATGTCACTGTGGTCCGGCGTCGGTTAGTAAGTTCATGTTCTAAAACTTAATGAAGAGTGAATATCAAGTCAAAAAAATTACGTCTAAACCTAAAACCAGCTTGCTTTACTTGGGTTTGTTTTTTACAAGCATTGGAAGATTATTAAACCTAACATTTGTCAGTGGTTGTTGCAACAGGATCTTTATCCTTATGAATACAGTGGTCTTGAGTGCTGTTATAGCTATGAGGGCGGTTACACTTCCCGGTTGCCCACACGGAGGAAGGGTTCTTCTGGAGGTACCTGAAAAGGAAATCGGATTAGAGGTGGTCTTAGTGACCTGGGAGCGTGACCGCAGTGCCCAAGGGACAACTGCTCGAGGTCGGTCACACACGACCTTTTTATGGGCAATTTTTGTGTTAGCTCCGTACTTATTGAGACCTTACCGCCGGAGACGGATATCCGTGGGATAAGGCGAGGTGTGCATTTTTAGGGTCGACCTTTTCTAACCCCAACCCTTCTTGTGGGAAGGCAGCATCGCTGTCATTCATGCTGGTTGTCTGAAGGAAACACCTTACTGCTGTCACACCTCTGTACAGTCAGCAGTAAGACTTCGCCTTCGGACCTTGGGTTTGTTGCTTTTAGCCTTACCGCTCTTCAACCGACCTTTCTGATGTGGTAGGACCTTGAGGAACAGTTTTTCCAGTCAGTATAGCTCGGTTGCTTCATCACGATAGGCAAGCACGACCACCACGTCAAGGTAGCAACAACGGTCGAGAGGAGTGTTCGCACTACCCACATACTGGTTTTTCAATCAGTACTTGTACGTACACAAGTAGGATGCGACATTTATAAATATCATGGATCAGATTGATCCCGAAGCTGAGTGTTCTTCGCAGAAATACAAAGTTTTGCATTAGTGTGATTAGTTGTCAACTTAATCAATGTCAACGAAATCCACTGGTCTTTCCTAACCTCTGGATTTACGGTTAATTAGACATGGGTAGAAATTATGAAGCAACAGTGTGTTCCCAAATTCCAGATTTATTACTGCAGCTTTAGACGGACAGCAGACAAGCGACAGTTGGTAAAAGTCTAGTCGTGTTTGCTTAGCTCTCAGATTTAGTGCTTTACCTAAACCGGTAAGATCACAAGAAGTTGATGTCGGTTCTTCAGACATACGCAGAATACGTCACGTCAGCTCTCCATACCGGCTAGGTGAGTACGGGTGAATGATTATGTTAGAATGTTGTATGAGTGTTACGGAGACACAGTAGGTATTCGTGAAACAAGATTCTAGAGTTGTAGTTAGTCGCGTCTGTTGTTCGACTTGACAATGGGTTTGGATATTGAAAGCTCTAACACGTAGGTTGAAGCGCGGTTTCAAGAGGCCTGGGATGGCATTTTGTGAACTTGAATTGTTAGCATTGATGGTACATGTTGAAGTAGAAGAAAGAAGGTTGGGAGTATAAGAAATATTTGGTGAAGATGGGGTCTAAATATAAACGAATTGACCTCACATGCTATGTGACAGCAGTTATCGCTTTTCTTACTAATTCCGTGGAAATGTTTATTCTTTGGGGGCCTAAAAAACTGTTTTAGTGGCGGTTTTAGCGACCCGAGAACGTTATCACAGTGCTTAAAGTCTATTTATTTATTTATTTCAACACATAAATATTGGTACAAGAGGGCACCAAACATATATGCGCCACACCATATTTGTATGTGTGGGCTGTGATACTGCCCGGGTGCCCGGACCGAAGCAGGTGGTTTTTTTAGGGGGCCACAACCCGAGCCTTTGACCTAAATGTCTGACCCACAAGGCAAGGGAGCATCGTGAGGAGATGCATTCCCATGGTAGCCGGTGACCAACGATTGGTTCATACGTCATTTGTCCCTTCAGGATAGTGGAGCCAGCTCATGTGCACCATTGGTTTGGGATCCGGTAAAGCGCCGAACATTCGCTTTTCGTCCTCTTAACTTCGTAAACAACATCCCCGCCACGAGAAGGCAGTGAGTAGGACTTCCCTGGCAGAGGCTGTATACGTGTGAGAGCATTTCGAGAGGGAGGGCGAGCCCACCCCACTCTCGGCCATACCAGGGCATTTGGGGGTCTAGAAGATGATAAGTGAATCTACAAATTTTAAGCAGTAAATTTATAGAGTCGTTTAAACAATATAATTTAAACCTTGAAGACAGGTTTTCTGAAAGTAAAGAACAAATTATTTTGTCCATTCTTACCTGTTTGATCTGTGTTTGCGATCGATTGGGATGGGATGAATTCGGGAGCATCTGGGTTAAGAACTGTTTTGTTCCCAGAACTGATTCGAAGTTTTTCATTCGAAACAAGAGGAAGGGGCCAAATCGATGGATTGTTTTTGCATCGGACACGAGCTTTAGGGACATCCACATCTAATAATGGACTAACTCTAATTGCCTAATTTTGAGAGGGAAACGGAATTCAATTATCACAAATATCATAAATTGTTATCAATAAAAAGCTACTTATATTCAAAGCAATGGAACTGCTGTAATTTTTTGATGGCGTTTTATATTTTCTCCTTGAACTGTATTTTCAATTCCTACTTTTTTCTATTACTTTTAATACTGTTACTGACTCTACTACTCTCATATTTGTCCTAACAATTTTATTTCGGTGTGCTAATGAGGTACGGCAATTTGAAAGACATACATGTACGCTATGTTTTATATTGGGTATGACTGACTGTTGTGGTTTCAAAATACTGAGGTGACTATTGATTTTTAATCTTAAAGAATGACGCAGATGATCAAACAGTAATGTTTTTATGTATAGCACTATTATTTATATTGTCTTGTGTTTCGAATAAAGTTGGGAGGTCTACTTAGTCGAACTGCGGACGCTTCGCTGCTTGCTACTGTTAGAGTGGGCAGGTATCGAAACCGAACTCAAAGCCAATAATATATACTTCTGATTGATTACTAAGTTTGCTGTGTTTACAGTATATTATTTTTTACGGATCCGAAACACGTAATACAGATCAGGAGTACTTCAGTTCTGCTATAAATATTGCCTAACTTGATGAACGTGTATAGGGATGCAACTATCTGTACCATTCTGAAACATTGGAAGAGAGATAAAATACGAAAACCAATGTAATTCCCTCTTTCTTCTGGTGGTCGACTGGATTATGAAGACCTCAATATCTGAAGGAAAACACGGCATACAATGGACAACTCAGAATCAATTAGACGATTTGGACTTCGCAGACGACCTAGCCCTCCTATCACGTACACACGAACAGATGCAGATGAAGACAGCCAGTGTAGCAGCAGTCTCTGCATCAGTAGGCCTCAGCATACACAAAGGGAAAACCAAGATCCTCAAATTCAACACGCAGAACAGCAATCAAATCACTCTTGATGGCGAAACTCTGGAAGATGTAGAGTCCTTCACATACCTAGGAAGCATCATCGATGAACAAGGAGGTTCAGATGCAGACGTAAAGGCGAGGATTGGCAAAGCAAGGGCCGCATTCCTACAATTGAAGAACATATGGAACTCAAAACAACTTTCAACCAATATCAAAGTGAGAATCTTCAATACGAACGTCAAGGCAGTTCTGCTGTATGGAGCTGAAACATGGAGAATTACAACAACCACAATCAAGAAAGTACAAGTAGTTATAAATAGCTGTCTACGCAAGATATTCAACATTGGCCGGATACCATCAGCAATAGCCTTCTGTGGGAGAGAACAAACCAACTTCCAGCTGAAGAGGAAATTAAGAAAAGACAATGGAAATGGATGGGACATATATTACGCAAATCATCAAACTGCATCACGAGGCAAGCCCTAACTTGGAACCCTGAAGGGAGGCGGAAAAGAGGAAGGCCAAGGAACACATTACATCGGAAAATAGAAGCAGACATGAAAAAGATGAATTGCAATTGGAACGGATTGCCCAGGACAGGGTTGGATGGAGAATGCTGGTGAGTGGCCTATGCTCCTTCACGAGGAGTAACAGGCGTAAGTAAGTAAGTAATGTAATTCACCTTGAGAACCTAATTAGAAAGATAGGTCACAGCTAGAGTGATCATTCCTCTTAAAAATGATTTTCTGCATTGACTTAGAAAGATTAGGAACAGTTTGACTACAAAATTTAGCGTTCACTAAATTATGAATAGGAAGGTACTAAAGAATAGTGATGAAATTTAATAGATTAAGTGGTAAATTTTTGACCAACCTAATTAAAAACAAGAAAACAGTACATACCTCCAAAATATCATTAAGATCTGTACATAATGAGGCCACACGATTAAACTTGGCAATTACATTGACATCAACCCATCCATCAGAATCCATTTGCCGACGAAGATACACATCTTTGGCCAAGTTATCTGGACTAAAGTAAAATTCGACTTGATGCAATATTTGATGGCGTATTAAAATCGTAGGATCACTACTCGACGACGCAAGGAAACACAAACTAGCAGGTTGGGCGATGGCTGTTCCCGGAAATAAGGAAGAGAAAACATTGTTTAAATCAGTACCTAAAGGTGGACTGAAAACTTGAGGTTCTATACGGTTAGATTCTGATGAATCAGTTGACCGTTGTTGTGATACACTTGAAACACCAACTGATGATGAATGTGATGTTTGACAGTTAACCGAATAATCGTAAACAGGATCAGAAACTCCTGATGTTGCTGGTGCCGATAAAGGTCCCGTCGGATATATCATCAAGAGGGGATATCCAACAGCTGAAACTAGAAAGAAATCGTATACAAGTATACTTCAATATATAAATTTCTGCTCTCAACGCTTGTATTACTATGGAGTAACGAATAACAACTAGGAAACAGAAATGTAAGGTCTGGAACAACACTAACAGACTAACATTTTATAAGAAAAAACTAGACGGAAAACAAGCAGTACTTGTGGTTAAGCATTGCGAGGAAATGAGTAAACTTAAGACAAGAGTATAGAACAGCATGTGCATGATCCAGAAAATAAAAAAGAGCCGATATATTCACTGATCATTACCAGTCGATTCAGACTGCCAGTTTCAAGAGCGTTAACAAAGGGCGTATTTGGGATTTTTGTCCGATTTGGATGCCATTGGTGTTTTACTAAGCAAAAGAGCTGAGACAGCACTAACTGATTAGGCCCGCAATAACTGTCGACTACGTACTTTCAGATTAAAAGGCTTCATCAAAGTGAGAAATCGGTGTGAGAAACGATATCTTTTCGCCATCGCCTACGCATCGATTGATTGTAGTCCGAATCCAATTGAGTATGAGACCTACCACCAAGAAAGGATCAAAATCATTCTGTGATAAAAATAGAGGGATTGGTTTAACTAATATAGCATCTAAAATACTAGCTTCAATAATTATCACACGCCTAAAAAATACTTGTCAAATGCAAACACGAGAAAATCAGACTGGTTTCAGAGTTGGTCGTAACTCTATCGACCACATATTCACCATTTGTCGGGTTCTCGAACACAGGCATACTTATCGGCGTCCGATGATCGTGGTCTTTCTCGACTTAAAAGCAGCATTTCACTCTGTAGATCGAGAGATTCTCTTGCAGTGTCTGTCATTGAGAGGCGTACCACAGAACTACATAAAGCTTGTGAAAACTCCCTACTCGAACACTACTAGTCGAGTCAGATCATATGGCATCTAACTGCGCAACCCTTCCGAGACATCCATTTTGCCCCCTGAATGCCCTGGTACGGCCGAGAGTGGGGAGAGTCCGCTCTCCCTCTCGAAATACTCTCACACGGCCACGCGTATACAGCCTCTGCCAGGGAAGTCCTACTCATTGCCTTCTCGTGGCGGGGGTGTTGTTTACGAAAATGAGAGGACGAAAAGCGAATGTCCGGCGCTTTAACCGGATTCCAAATCAATGGTGCACATGGGCTCCAGTATCCTGCGGGAACGAATGGCGTATGAACCAATCGTTGGTCACCGGCTACCATGGGACTGCATCTCCTTACGATGCTCCACTGCCTTGTGGGTTAGACCTTTAGGTCAAAGGCTCGGGGAGTGGCCCCCTAAGATAACCACCTGCTTCGGTTTGGGCACCCGGGCAGTATCACAGCCCACACACAAATGATGAACTCTTTATGTCTATGGAAATTACTTTTGTCGCTTTGAAAAACAAACAATTGATTCAGATTATTATCATTACAATTATTGTCATTATTAATACTATTATTATTATTACTACTATTATTGTCATTATTGTTATTATTATCATTATTATTATTATTTTCCACATTATTCACCCTCTTTTATACTTATACAGCGGCTCGTCTTTGGTGGAAATCCGACTGTATCTAAACGTTCTCGAGTCACTGTCCGGTTGAAAATTGTATGTTACCACCGAATACGAGGACTGAAGCAGATTTTCTGAAACCACGTGCACCATTCAAACTGGCTGCCTTCAACGTTCGCACATTTATGCAGGTCGGACAACAGATAGGGCTGGCTATGTCTTTGGAAAGTCTTAATATCGACGTGTGTTGTCTATCCGAGACCCGTATTCAAGACTCTGGCGAAGTACTACAAATTCGATCTCCATCTGTCGCTTCGAAAAGCTTGTTTTACGTGCGCTTATCCGGGGACCCTGTGGCATCTTCGTCTGGTCTTGCTGGCGTTGGTGTCGCACTAAGCGCTAGAGCTGAGGCAGCACTAGTCGATTGGATCCCCATTAACAGTCGGTTATGTGCTGTTAGATTAGAAAGTTCCATCAAAGTGAGAAGAAATCGGCGTGAGAAACGATGTCTTTTCGTCATCTCCGCCTATGCCCCGACAGATTGCAGCCCGGATGCAATCAAGGATGAGTTTTACCACCAGTTATCAGTTCTTCTCCAGAAAGTGCGTTCGACAGATATTGTAGTACTAGCCGGAGACTTGAATGCTCAGGTCGGGCGTCTAGGCACAGAAGAGAGTCGTTTAGGTGGCCGATGGGGACTCGTTGGTCGCAGGTCAGATAACGGGGACCGTCTACTGCAACTTTGCACAGACCACAACCTGTTTCTGGCTAGCACTAACTTTCGGCACAGTCATCGCCGATGTGCCACCTGGCGTCCTCCCTCTGCATCTCAAGCCTGGACTCAGATTGATCACATCGCGATCAGCTACCGCTGGCGTGGTTGTGTACAAGACTGCCGCTCCTTTTGGAGTACCTATCTGGACTCTGACCATGCCTTGGTCTGCGCCAATCTTGCCTTACTTTTCAGTGGACAACGAAGTGAACGCCATCAACGGATTGATGTTAGCAAGCTGGTTGCAACTTCTGTTGCAAGTAAGTATCGAACCGAGCTAGCCTCTAGGCTAGCTACCACTCCACCGAAAAGTATAGATGAGCATTGGTTGCAATTGCATGACGCCATGAAAATGGCGGGAACAGTCAGTTGTGGGTTTGCGAAACGTCCCGCTTTTAAGCACTGGGTTTCTTCTGGTTCCTTACAACTCATTGAAGCCCGTCGGTCTACTCCGGGTGACCGTGAGTTTGACCATAAACGAAGGATGTTACGTAAGGAAATTGGGCAAAGCTTGCGTAAGGACCGAGAAGCCTGGTGGTCGATGCGTGCTAATGAGCTGGAAGCAGCAGCTGCATCTGGTAACTACCGGAAGCTCTTCCAACTCATCCGAGCCACTGGCAGCAAGAAGTCTGGTGTGAGTGAAACAATCTGCGAGGATGATGGGATGCCAATCACTAACATCCATCGACGTCTTGGACGATGGGCAGAATTTTTCGAAGGGCAGTTCAACTGGCCTGCTGCTCCGGCAACATCGGTCAGACTGTCCTGCCCTCCATGGCCGGTGACGACTGATCCACCAAATGAGGAGGAAGTCCGCAAGGAACTCCAACTCTTGAAGCGTTACAAATCACCTGGCCCAGATGACTTACCTCCGGCTCTTTTTAAAGATGGTGGTGACTTTTTGACTAAGGAATTGACGACGTTGTTTACAAAGGTTTGGGAACTAGAGAGTGTACCAACGTCATGGAATGAGTCGATAGTTGTCCCTATCTTTAAAAAGGGTTCACGTCGTTCTTGTAACAACTATCGGGGGATAAGTTTACTTCCGATTGCGTCCAAGCTATTGGCTTCCGTCATTCTTCGTAGGTTGTTCAAAACCCGAGAAAGATTGACTCGCGAGGAGCAGGCTGGGTTTCGTTCTGGTCGAGGATGTATTGATCATATCTTCACCCTCCGCCAAATGTTAGAACACCGCCATACTTTTCAAAGGCCAACAATCGTAGTGTTTCTTGACATCAGGGCTGCCTTCGATTCGTTGGATAGGACTGTTCTCTGGGATTGTCTATTGAAGAAGGGTGTGCCTGAGAAGTTTATTAACATCCTAAAAGCCCTGTATAAAAACACCTCAGGCAGAGTGAGGGCATACAACCACCTCTCTCCATTGTTCCATTCGAGCAGTGGGGTTAGGCAGGGTTGCCCAATCTCACCATTCCTCTTCAACTTTGCCATCGATGACATTCTGGAAACAGCTCTGATGAATGTAAGTAATGGTGGTGTGGATCTGTTGCCTGGAGAAAGACTTCTCGACCTTGAGTATGCGGACGATATTGTCTTACTGTGCGATAATGCCCAAGGCATGCAATCCGCACTTAATCAGTTGGCAATCAGTGTCCGTAGGTATGGTATGTGCTTTGCACCTTCGAAGTGCAAAGTACTTCTACAAGACTGGCAGGATTCTAATCCTGTACTCACCCTGGATGGTGAGCAGATAGACGTAGTTGAGAAGTTCGTGTATCTGGGTAGCTGCATAAGTGCTGGTGGGGGTGTGAGTGATGAGATCAATGCACGAATAGTGAAAGCCAGAGCGGCTTATGCCAATCTGGGCCACCTTTGGCGCCTTCGTGATGTTAGTCTGGCTGTAAAAGGTCGGATCTACAACGCGTCGGTGAGAGCAGTTTTGCTCTATGCTTGTGAAACCTGGCCTCTCCGAGTTGAGGACGTTAGACGACTCTCTGTGTTCGATCATCGCTGTCTCCGAAGGATTGCTGACATTCAGTGGCAACACCATGTCAGTAATGCAGAGGTTCGGCATCGTGTGTTCGGGCACAGAGATGATAACTCAATTGGTGTCACCATCTTGAAACACCGACTTCGGTGGCTTGGACATGTTCTCCGAATGTCGTCCCAGAGAATTCCACGTCGTGCATTATTTGCCGACTCTGGGACTGGTTGGAAGAAGCGGAGAGGTGGTCAGTGCATGACATGGTGTCGTGGCATGAAAGAAAGCTGCAAAGGACTGGCTTGTGTTGGTCCTTCACGACTCCCTGGTTGGGGTCCGAGAGATGGTGCTACACAGTGGCTAGAGACGTTATCAGATATGGCTCAGAATAGAAGCCAGTGGCGATCCTGCTGTAACCTTCTTTTACTTTCTTCATAAAAAGTGGTTGTGTCTCCCTTACCTGAAAGATTTCTTCTGATTGTACCTCTTCGTCATTACTCTCTTTTTCTTTTGCGTTCCTTAGTTTTTTTTCTCTTTCCACTTCTCTTCGAATTCCCATTGTTTTGTGTGGCGCATATATATTGGCGCTCTCTTGTACCAATATTTATGTGTTCAAATAAATAAATAAATAAGTGGTATCCCACAAGGCTGACCACTGTCTCCATGTCTGTTCAACTTCATCATAGACACACTGACGGAAATAACGATCTCGTCGACTGAATTTTCGGGCATTGATCTACTACCAGGAGACCCACTTATCGACTAGAATA